TGCACCGGTCGCCTGGTTTCAACCCTCCGGAAAAAGAGTCGACGCGCACCTCCACCGTTGATTGCCCCGCCGCCCGCGCCAGTCAGATTTAAAGAGGAACGTCGACGCAAAAATAAAAACGAGAAATCTCGCACTCACTCCCCCACAGAGAATTGTCTCGCTTTTCAAAGAGGCTCTTGCATCTATCTTTCGATATCCTGCACGTGGCTTTTGGAGAAGAACGGTTGAAGCGAAGTATGACACTCTGATATGCGAGTACAGTGGAAGTCAGAAAAACAATTTCCTTGACGAATTTGGAAATGCTCGAGTTGAAGATGAGAAAGTTAGGTTTGGTTGGCGTAAGAAAGGGTTAAAAGGGGTTGATTGATGAAGTAGATAGACATATCTGTATAGGGGAATAAGATTAGAGGGATAAGTATAGAATGACATAGCGATCTAGGGGTTGGGTTGATTAGATTCGGATGAACGTTTCGTGAATCAAGCCGGTTACCCGCTTTGCCGGAATGCCGTGACTTTTATCGCGGTTTTATCGCGCGCGCTGATTGCGGCGCCGCGAATCTCTCGTGCTGTAAAACTGAGCCCAGGTCAGTGACGCGTACACGAAAAGTGTCGTGGGGGGCAACGGCCTGGGCGAGATATCTGGGCCAGTGCGAGCCACACGACGGCCGCCATCTTCGCGTCACTTTTTCCATCCCGAAAACATGGGGCACCAGTGACCTAACCTACTATCCAAATCTCTCTATCCAGGTGTATCCTAATTGTGCCATAAAATATTTTACCTACAGTATTCCCTAGAAAAGCTTAATTTACAGGGGCCTATATATGCGAATATCCCCTAAACTTTGATCCTAACCTTAAGCAGATTTAGATTTCGGCAAGACCTCGTAAAGCTGCGAGACTGGAACAACTCAAGAAGCTCAGGGGCCGAGGAAAAGTAGCTTGTGGCCAGCGGTATGGCGAAATAGTGCAACAGCAGTGCGACCGAGCGACCTAGTCTTAAAGATATCCAACACTCTTCCGCGTTCTCTTCCCTTTCCACCGCTGATCCCTCGCTGCGTGTTCCAGTACCTATAAGACGGTCTCTACCGCTAGCGGCTAGGTCACTCGACGTCGACTTGTTTGCCGTAAACTGCCTGTGTGTTACGCCACGGCCATAAGTTACTGACCCAGTCAACCCAGCCCGAGACTCCCCTCACCTCTTCTGATCGTTCTCTTCACCAGGGATGTGAGATCAAGGTAGGGGACCCTAAGAGAGTCTAATTCTTGATCAGATATTGTTCAGAAGAACGGTCGATTTGATTTTTTCCGTTTCGAAAATTTAGTCCAGGTAAAATGCAGTCAGCAGGGGTTAAGAGACACTTTCTCTTCTGCGTGGTAGGCCGCCATAATCTCTTTGGCTTTTCGGCGGTCCTGCCAAGTCACTCTCTCTTTCTTTTTGTACGAACACCGAACAAACGACTCTGGGGTGTCTTTACAAGGGTATCTAGGATTCAGCAGATTGACTCAGTCATCGTCGTACTATTTGAGAAGATTCTAAACTCAGAAGCTTTAAGCTACCTTTTCAAATACTGATCGAATCTACATAGGATTGATCGATTAGTTTGGAGAAGATTAATTTTCTTATTGGAAATCATCAATTCTAATTGTCGAAGATAAACTGGAAACGTTGGAATGTATCTGGAATGCATCTATTAAATGTTTCAATTTATATTACGTGCATGGTAAGACAACTTATAAAGTAAGCAGATGTCATACAAGAACGAAATCATCAGGTCGACGGACGAAGAAGATCTGCGAGCACTGGCGCACCGGTTTACAACACCTGGCGGAGTATCCCTCACCACGCGTCTCTAATCGATGTGGAGGGGATATAATAGCAAGAGTGGGGGTAGCGTACTGCCACTTCCTAAAACGAATTCGCGGCCTGTGCTGCCCCCACCACGTGCCTCCTTGAAGTCGCACAATGACGAGCACGAGGACGTTGGCCTTCGCGGGGCGTAATTATCAGTCTCGAGGGAAACGATTTACATTCGATTCGAGGTTTCGCGGGGAAAGAACTCTTCTTTCGAAATGCCACGTTGAAACAATTATATCCTCTCCAACGATGAATCATTTTAATACGAAATATTTTTGACGAACCTTTACACTAGAATTCCCAATGATACCGAGAAAAGGAATTTTTCCTCTTCTTTTTTTCTTTTCAATTTTAAATGGTCGACAGAGAGACGAGTCGATTCGAATCGAAAGAATAGAGAAAAGCTAGACAAGCTGGACAGGAAATTGTACGGACGGATGTGCATTCTTCGCGTTGCACGTACCTGCCCTAAAATTCGGCCACACGAAAACCACCGACACAAAACTGTCTTTAGGAGGAGAGAAACGGCTGTCTACCTGTCCCGGACCCTTCTCACGCGAAGGTTATCGTTCCACACAGAATTTCGCCACATTTTTCGCTCCTTTTGCGTAACCGCCCGCGAAGCCATTGTACGAACCCCGACCTTCCTCGTATTCCAGAAAAATTTGATCGCTGAATATGCTATTCTATCTACTTTTTCTCAAAAGTCACGCTAAATCTCTTCCAAGAAATTTATCTCGTACATTCGAAATATTTTTACCTATCTTCTGTATCGTAGAAATTTATAAATTCTTTCTCGATAGAAAAATAAAATCGCAAGATATAAATGACATATATATTTTTAATAATTTCGATCAATTTGGATGATCTTCTTATATGCCCTATGAATCATTATATACAAGAAAGAATATCGCAATTGATCAGGAATTAACGCGAATAATACTTCGAATGTCATTTCTCTGACCAGAACTCTCGATCGTCGTATGGATGGAAGAAAAGAGGCCTTGGCAAGATTTTTCATCCACGAGGAGAGGTTGCCCGGTTGAGGAGGCAACGTCAAGGACCAGTTCGAACGTCTCACGATTTCCGCGTGCACAAGGTCGAGCAACGCCGGGTCGATAACTTCTCTTTAGCCTTGGTCACATCGTACATTCACATTCAAACTCCGTTCACTTCCTGGTCACATCGCGTTACGGCTCCACATTATCGATACTTTTCACGGTACTCGTGGATCAATGCTAAATTCGTATTTACGTATTTCCAACATCCATTATTCCAAAAATCTTGCAAAGATCGAGTAAAAAGTATCAAAAATGTCGGCGATACTCGTTGCGATATTCGTTCAAACGATTTTCAGATCATTTTATAACTTTTGTACGGAATGTTGGAAGAAAAAAAAGGAGTTCCAACGGAGAAGTTCGAACGCAAAGTCGAGTAAGCAAATATTTTTGAAAACGAAACCGGATCGAAAAGCGTCGAACGAAATATGCGAAGTATACGCGGATTTGTATTGTATATCGAGTTCGAATTTCCACTCACCTTGCATCCCTCGCAGGAGTGTACCCCATAGTGAAAACCGGACGCTTTGTCCCCGCAGACACGACACAATACCGTGGTCCCGTCGAATTCTGCAAGAGAACAGAGAAAAAAAAGAAATATAGATTACGCACTGTGATTTCACTAGCACAATATGTATATAACGTGGACGTGTAACGTGTCGGGTTCACGTTGCTCTCCACGTGGCGGATAGCGCGCGTCTGGGAGGAGAAAGGTGGGAGAGAAAGAAGAACACTTTCTCCTCTCTCGCGGCGGGTTACAGCATCGGCGTGTTACAACTTTCTGCTTTCACTCGACTGTCACGACGCACGATCGTTTTTCAGTTCCACGAGATCCAAAGCAATTGGATCTCCTTATACGTACTGATATAGTTGAACCTGACCGAGAATTTGTCGAATTTTTTCGAATTAAGCTCAAACGTTAGTTTTCGACAGAATGTATTGGAAGATAAGTTTGGCAATAGAATTATACGTAAACGTGTCTTTTTATTTTATCCTTGAGCGATTTTTTCATTTTTTTTCTTTTCTAATTTTTCTTCGATTAGTGGTTCCGAGTCGTACCTATGTTCAATTCGGGCTCAGGTTTCGCTGACGAAACGGTAGAGTCCATGGTAGGCATGTTTGGGCTGAGATGATGGGGTAACTGAGCCACGTGATAAGGGCTTGACATGCCCTGAGAGACACAAGACATGCGCGACACGCTGGACGTGCGGGAGCCATGCGACGACATGCTCGAGATCGGCGATTCCGGTGCCGGTGACGTCGCCATTGTAGCCTGTGCGCTGCTATCCGGGGTCAGGATCATGATGTTTGTCTATCGTTCGATCACAATAACGAATCCAGAATATCTTAGGTTCTTCGATGTATCATCCACTTGGCACGGCACTGCACTGAGCCGAGAACCGACATCAGTTCACTACATGTTCGCTCGGTATCACTGACTAATAAACACTAACTCACTTCTCCTCGATATCACCAAGAAAAAAAGCGCTGCTCGAGAAATCTACGTAAGAAACGAATTCCTGTCTGCTTTCTTCTCTCTTTATCTCCAAGTCTGTTTATCGTGTAACGCACAGAAGTCGATCACGTGATCAAGTAACGTAAGGAACTCGATTGACCGGGGGAGTGAATCACACTAAGGGAAACTGACTCTGGTTTGCCGAGAACCTACCGGAACGAGGGGCAGGTGCGTTCTGTGGCGACCGATGAACACCTCGCCGGTGTTATACACTGTCGATAGAGTGGAATGAACGACCGGGTGGTGTACCAGACGTGAGCGAGGAAGGAACCACGAGCGGAGAGAGCCGGAGGAAACCGTGAGCGAAAGAGCGCACGTATTGGGATGGCAGAGAGAAGAGAGTGAAAGTAAGTGTTCGCTCGAGGGAGGTTCGCGTTGGTCTGACTGGAGTTCGGCGCTGCCGAGTGTTGGTTACCTGGGGGCCGTGCAGCCCTTACTCGGAGCGACGCCGGTTTGTGGAGGGGAGGGATTGATGTGGCTGCCTGCTTGCCAGGCTGCCTCGACCATCTACAATGTCTACGCCCTGGCTACCTAGTATGTAGTAGAGGACACACAGCGCACCGGTGCGCTCTTACAGAGAGCCCCCCGAGAGAGTTCATCGTATTTTCAATGCTGGAGGTCACTGACAAGCGGCGGCTGCGGGCCCGGGCACCGGCGTCACGGGCCCAACCAATCGCGTGGCCGCACGCTGGGCCGCGTGTTCTCGCGATTGGCCGAAGCTTCGCCCCACCACTCGCCTCGGACCTCTACCGGCCGGCTCTCCTTCCTCCC